TTTTTTGTGAAAATAGTTAACATTTCATGAAAATTTTACATCCAAATTATTATTTAAAGTATAATTTAAACAAATAAATTCTTTGAAAAGCATTATATTTTAAATTAAATCGTTTTAATTTAAATATACATATATTATTTTAAGTTAAGTTAAGTTAAATCATTTTCATACTTCTACTAATCTCCAAATATTAAAAAAATAAATGTTCTAATATCAACATTGAAAATTATTTTCACAATATTTTAAAAATTCTACCTCTGCATTTTGAAAAATATTTTTTTCGATAAATATTTCATAACCAAATGTAATTTTCTTCGATACTAATACACTTGAAGTACACTTGAAATGACTTCACATTAAATTAAATATATTTCTTTTTTAATAAAAGACATTTTATAATTTAAATTTAAATTTAAATTTAGATTACTAAAAATAATTTAAATTACTAAAGATAATTTAGATTACTAATAAACAATTATTGTAGTTTTATCGCTTCATGTACTTATTTACTTAAGTAATATTATTTTTCTTCATAAAATTACTGATATTAATCAAAAATGAAAAGAAATTTCTAAGATTGTACTATTGAATAGTTTAAATCTCTGAAGAATTTCAAACAGAACTAACAATGTTCAAATGAAAAAACTATATACTATTGTTTTTAATTTGAAACGAAACTAATTTTTGGTTTGCAGTACATATTACGATGCAGAATATATAATTATGAATTCATATTAATATACACACAATTCTGTTATATGTTCTGTCAATTAATATATATTCAATTTGAAAAAATTGCCCAAAGAACGTCGTATAAAAAAAAAACTACAATGAATCCACAAATTTTTTTTTAAGTCAAAATCCTTAACTAATTCTTCAAATAATCTTTATTTATTTAAACAGCTTTTATTCTATCATTATTATAAGTTTCATAAAAAAAACCGTTAGCATAATTTCATCGGTAGAAGTTTATAAAAAAAAATCTGTACAAAAGTGACCCTAATTTTAAAATTCAAAATCAATTTTTTTGTCTTTCATTGCATCATATTCTACTTATTATGAGAATAAAAAGTCTCAAAGCAATCACGTATTGCAACTGAATTTGGAAGAAATGTTAAAGTTTCAATAAGTCTTAAATTGAATTTATTCATCACGTATTTACATTTGTATTTACGTTTAGTAAGAAAATTTTATTCAAGAAATTACAGATTATGATCATAAGAAAAGAATAATATACATAATATATCATAAAAATAATGGAAGATCCCCTGGATGTCAAAAAAAATTCTACGACAATGCAATTTTCGACAGCTATGTCAACTAAATGATCAAGAATTAATATTGTAGCATCTGAATAAAATTAGTATAACAATTAATGAAACCTTGATATCATCATACAAGTCATTCGGTTAGCCAATTTTTGAAGAAAATGCTTGAATCAACGTGGATAAGATACTGACCTACTCCTCACATGCTCCTTCATGAGATTTTATACTAATAAATTATTTTCTTTGAGTGAACAAATTACATTGAATTGAACAATTAAAACATTAAGAGATTGCATATGGTTTTTATTATATATAAAGTAAATATATAATTTTGAGGAAACACTTGAAATGCAGAAACAGAAGTTCGGAGTTGTTTAAATAATAAGAAAAAAAAAAAAAAAGAAAGAAAGGAAGGAAAAAAGGAAATAGTACAACGACGGACCTGAGGTATCTAATTAGATGCAATAATAAATATTATTCTCTTTGTAGCTGACGATAGAATGTAAATATGTTACAAATAAAATGTCCAGAAACTAATGAAATTTTTTCCAAGGAAACGGTTGAAAAGTATGATTCTTTTGAGACTTTTTATCTTCATAATGAACAAAACACGATGTAATATAAGAAAAGAATTTAATCTTGAATTTCAAGATCAAGGTCAATTTTATATAGACTTTTTTCCTATAAATCTCCATCGATCCAGAAATGTAAACTCACGCTATTATAATTTTTACATTTATCTTTTAAACAGTCTGCACACATTAACACAAATTACTTTTCATAAAGAGATATATACGTAATTAAAGAATACAAAAAAGCAAAGAATATAACACGTGCTTGTTAATTAAATTTCCCTAGAACTCGATATTATCACATTATTTTTTGAATAAAGTACATTTCATACAATCGTTCCATAAAATATAAAGTATAAAACAAAAATAAATAGATAGCGAACATAAATAGCAATTAAATTTCAACAGAAATATAAAATAGAGGTAAAAAATATAAAAAAAAGCTTTGAGTACAAAAAGTTAATGTCAAATTTTTTAACAAAGCTCCATTTGAACTACGTTGAATCATACTAAATCATATACAAGAAATCCGGATAGAAATAGAATTAGAAGTGTATCGTTGAAAATACATAAAATAGTTGAAAAAATTAAAAATTAAATTTTCATTGGACCCTTCTCCTATATCTACTCGAACTGTATCAAAGGTATGCAATTTAAAGATATACTTTAACTAAAATAGAAAAAAAAAAAAGAACTACTCAAATATTAAGCTCTGTGACTACTAAAATAAAAACAACAATCTTAACTTATATTTTGTATTAAATCAATATTTGTTATTAAAATGAAGGAAGTGCGTCAAAGCCAAGCGAAGGGAAAAGAAAACAACTGATCAATCATAGGGTGCAGATATACAAAATTGACATAAGAAAAAGATTAGATTATGACTAAGATTTATATCTGAAACGCTCAAGTATTGAATATATTGAATAACTAAAATATCGTTTGTTTTAATTCTTTAAAATTATCTGCTCCTTCTCCTCTTTTTTCATGGTGATTGCACTTCAATGCGTACGATAGTACACACATTAAAAATAACACAAATTCAACGGTCATGGATAATCAATGATCCCCAGATCAACATCAAACACGAATCTGAATGCGTGAAAATTTAAACACTCGTGGATACATATATGGAGAAGATGAAATAATAGAAAGAAATGGAAGTATACATATATGTATATGTGTATGTCTATATATATTTATATATCTAACCTCTTCGCTGGTTGTTTTGTCCTGTCGTTGACCTGGTGACGAAGTAAGGAGGTCCGGTAAAACAGAACTGGGCCGAGATCCAGGTGATGAATCCGATCTCTGAAAATCACTGCCACTGCCGCCGCCTCTTGAACGGTCACCACTTTCCCGATTCTATAAAAATATCAATTGATATTTCAATCGATAGCCATTGTCGATAGAACATAAAAAAAAAAAAATTCAAAGAAAGGGGTAACATCTGCTAAAAATTTAAAACCTGAATTTTTCTAAAATCTTTATCAATCAATATTATAAATAGATTAAATTTAACTGCCTTTGTTCACTTTCTGTCTACACATTGAATTAAATTTAATTCGTAATAAATTTCAATTATTACACAGAGAAGTATACGTATGTAGATATATATTTTCTTAAAATTCAGGTGTTAAGACAATCAAACAGATCGCACTAAAATAAGATCGAATTGGAAAATCATAACAGACAAAGAAGAATATAGAACGAAATGGAAGGGAAAATAATGAAATTAAGGATAATGATTATACAAGGATTGAAGAACAGAAGAGAAGACAAGCAAAAACACGTAAAAATAATAAGAAAATGGATAAGTGTGCTTAGAAGCAACAGAAGAAGTAAGTACTAAATATTTATAATATTTTGACTGAATTATA